ATCAAAGTACAACTAAACTACACAACAAACATCATTCAAAACCGCCTGAAATCAAGCTGAATGGAATCCAGCACCAGGCGGCCACTCAGGGTTCCAGTGCCAAGAAGAGAAGTCCCCATAACTTCTGGCTGGAAAAACCGGCGGGAACTGAGGCTCAGGGAGGCTGAGGCGATTGGAGCCCCAGGCAGCTCCTTAAAGGGCCCGCGCATGGACTTATCGGAGTCTCTCCCTCTAAGCTTGGAGGGGAAGCAGATCGAGGGGCACCAGAGATATACAGAGAAGAATTGAGCTGTCTGGCATTGGAGTGAGGGCTGGAGAGGGAGCTTTCCTTGGGACAAACGTGCTGTCAGAGGCCTTTGTTCCTTTGGTGAGCCCTTCCCTGGGGCGGCAGACAGTCCCCATATCTGGGACTCCAGCAACCTGGCTCACACTGGTAGCCCCGTCCTTGTGACTCCCTGAGGCCCCACCCCACCCAACTTTCAGGCCCACCCAAGCTGTTGCCAGTTGCTTAACCATAGGATTGGCCTGTCTTGGATCCTGCTTCAGGTTTTCCTAAATTCTTTCAAACAAGAAGCAACTGGTCTCAGATAGCCCCATACCTCTCGTTAAGTAATACACAGAAACAAACACAGGGAGGCAGCCAAAATGAGGAGACAAAGAAACAGGTCCCAAATGAAAGAACAGAACAAAACCTCGGGAAGAAAACTAAGTGAAATGGAGATAAGCAACCTAACAGATGTTGAGCTCAAAATAGTGCTTATAAGGATGCTCAATGAACTTAGTGAGAACCTCAGTGAACTTAGTGAGGGCCCCAAGAGCATAAAAAAAAGGACCAGTCAGAAATGAAGGATGAACAGTCAGAAATGAAGGCGGCACTAACTGAAATAAAGAATAATTTACACAGATTCAATAGTAGAGTAGATAAAACCAAGAAGCAAACCATTGTTTTGGAATATAAGGAAGCAAAAAACACCCAATCAGAACAGCAAAAAGAAAAAATAATTCAAAGAAATATAAGGATAGTGTGAGGAGCCCCTGGGACAACTTGAAGCATGCCAACATTCGCATCTTGGAGATACCAGAAGGAGAAGAGAGAGAAGAAGAAATTGAAAACCTGTTTGAAACAATAATGGCAGAAAACTTTCCTAACATGGTGAAAGAAACAGATATACAGTCCAGGAAGCACAGAGAGTCCCAAACAAGATGAACCCCAGGAGGCCCACACCAAGACACATACATCATCATCAAAATGCAAAAGGTTTAAGACAAAGAGAGAATCTTAAAAGCAGCAAGAGAAAGGCAGCGGGTTACCTAAAAGGGAGTTCCCATAAGACTGTCAGCTGATTTCTCAAAAGAAACTTTGCAGGCCAGAAGGGAATGGCAAGAAATATTCAGAGTGATGAAAAGCAAGAACCTACAGCCAAGGTTACTCTATCCTGCAAAGCTGTCATTTAGAATCAATGGCCATATAAAGAGTTTCCCAGACAAGAAAAAGTTAAAGGAGTTCATCACTACCAAACCGTTATTATTATGCCATGGCCAGTTTGGCTCAGGAGTTAGAGCGTTGGCCTGCGATCTGGAGAGACCTGGGTTGGGTTCCCGCTAAGGGCACATACCTCCATTGCAGTTTGTCCTCTGCCCTGGTTGGGTCATGTGGGTGGCAACCACTCGATGTGTCCCTTTCACGTCAATGTTTCTCTCTGTCTCTCTCCCTCCCACTCTATCTGAAAATGTGCTCAGGTGAGGATTAAAACAACAACAACAAGAACAACAAAAATCACCAACCCATTATTACAGTGATACCTCGGTTCTCGAACGCCTCGGATTTCGACCAAATCGGTATTCGACCAGGAGATTCGAGAAACTTTTGTCTTGGAATCCGAACAAATATTTGGAACTCGAACTTCCGAGATGAGCCGAGTTGAGCCGAATGGCGTTCATTCGGCCCAGCGCGCCTTGCTTGCGCCATCAGTGTGAGTGCAGAGAGAGAGTCACGCTTTGTGGAGAGAGTCACGCTTTGTGGAGACAGTCACGCTTTACACTGAATTTAACCCTTAGACATTCTGTACACTTTTATTTCTTGTTGAGACTTATGTTTTTCTACATATTATATACAAATTAGGCCAGTAAATAGGCATTTTCTGGGGCTTGGAACGAATTAATCCAGTTTCCATTATTTCCTATTGGGTTTCATTGCTTCGGTTCTCGAACAATTTGGTTCTCGACCGTCCTCCTGAAATGTAGAAGGGTCTTTTTCAAGAAAAAGATAAAATATATGAACAAACAAAATGGCAATGAATACATATCTATCAACAATTGAATCTACAAACAATATGAACAGGCAGAACAGAAACATTCTCATAGATACAGAGAACATTTTGTTGGTTGCCAGATGGCAGGGGGGTTGGGGGAATGGGGAAAGGGATCAAGAAGTACAAATTCATTGCTAGACTGACAAACCTCAAAGGGAAGGTGCTTGGGGGTGTTGGAAGAAATAAACCAAAGAACTTATATGCATAAACAATAGACAGAGACAATAGTGTGGGAAAAGGCGGGAGGGGGATGGGAGTGGGGAGGAGGGGGTCAATGGGGGAAAAATGAGAAATATCTGTAATACACTGAACAATAAAGATTTTTAACAATTGTAAAAAAAATAAAATAAAACAAATAGAAACAATCTACTTGGCAGAGATAACAGTAACAGTTGTTACTGTACTTATTGTTATTATCATTAGAAGAGATTCTTTTTTTTTTTTATCCTCATCTAAGAACGTCTTTGCATTTATCTTCAGATAGAGCAGGAGGGAGAGAGGGGGGAAGAGAGAGAGAAGCATCGATGTGAGAGGGACACATCGACTGGTTGCCACCCACACAGCGGGGCCAGGGACAAACTGCAACCGTGGTACATGCCCTTAGTGGGAACCGAACCCAGGTCTCTGTGGTCTGCAGGCTGATGCTCTAACCACTGAACCAAACCAGCTATGGTAGAAGAGATTCTTTTTAGTTAGATCACATGTCTATTTACAAAAGCCGTATGGACAGATAACTCCAGACATTTCAAGCTCCAGCAGAGACTTCTATTTCAACCCAGAATCCACATATGAGGTGAGTGAAGATTTAAGTGATAAAATAAAGTAGCTGGTGGGGATATTCCAGTGTCGAAACATGGTGATAAGCTGAATGGATTCAGGTCTGGCACCCCAGGACTCAGTACTTCAGATGGAAATCACTTGAGCAACACGCCTGCCACTGGTCTCAACCTGCTCAGTGTTTATTATTTGTTCTCCCTGGCTCACAATGCCACTGCCCTTCTTTGGACCTATGAGTCCTTATCTGTAGATCATAAAATTGGACTAAATAACTTGCAATCTCTCTTTCAGCTCCACGACTTCTTCATAACTCAGTTTCCATCTGTTCCTTCCAGGGCACGAACATAATGACATCTCTGACCTCTGTGCTGCATGATGACAGAGAATTCCCCAACCCAGAGAAGTTCGACCCCAGCCACTTCCTGGATGAGAGAGGCAACTTCAAGAAGAGTAACTACTTCATGGCTTTCTCGGCAGGTACTACACGTTTATGTTCTTTGGTGCTTCTGAGGACAGGACATCTTTCGGGAATCAGTTGAAACTCACGTAGTACTCACTCTGGGACTGGTAGAATTCCCTTTGTCCATGACCGGAAGCGCCAGTGCCCATGCCCACACACTTTCCCTCCTTCTGGTACATCCTCATTGTTAGGCCAGGTCACTGGTGTTTTGGAGAGTTGACTCAATTCTTCCAAATTCAGAAATGAAAGTTGAGCTTGTTCCTGAAAAGATGAGAGGAGTGCATGCATCCCAGTGAAAAGCAACGGTTGATATAAAACTTGAAACTTCAGCCCGGCCGGTATGGCTCAGTGGTTGAGCATCAACCCACGCACCAAGAGGTCGCTGTTTCGATTCCCGGTCAGGGCGTGTGCCCAGGTGGTGGCCCCAATCCCCAGTGAGGAGCACGCAGGAAGTGGCCAAATGATGTTCTCTCTCATCGATTTTCTATCTCTCTCTCTCCCTCTCCCTTTCTCTCTCTCTAAAAATCAATAAAGAAAAATAAATTTAAAAAAAACAAAACTTGAAACTTCAGGCTGTGTGGAGATTGATGAAGAGTAGGTATACTCAGAGCAAGGACAAGGCTGTGAAGAATGTGAAAAACAATCATGAAACATCAGTCTAGGAACAGAAAATACAGTCAATGTCTGTGTGTTTCTAGAAAAAGATTGATGGAGACTTGAAAGAGAGGTTATAGTGTGAGAACAGCTAATGAAATACTTGGCGTAGTGCTGATACTCAGGAAATATTTGTGGATGGAACAATACCTGTTCGGATAAGATGTGAAGTGGATAGATTGCATGTCCACCCTGTGTCCATCTGCTTGGCCAGCTGTTCTGCCTGTCATCCATCCATTCAACCACGAGTCAACTGATTACTTACTGCACATTCTCTTTCTGGCGTCCAGAACATCAGTGTGCAAGGATGACCTACTCTCTATGTGTGTTATTTACAGGAAAGCGGATGTGTGCTGGAGAGGGCCTGGCTCGCATGGAGCTGTTTTTATTCCTGACCACCATTTTACAGAAATTTACCTTGAAACCTGTGGTTGACGCCAAGGACATCGACACCACCCCAATCATGAATGGGTTTGCTTCTGTGGCACCCCCTTACCAACTCTGCTTCGTCCGGGTGTAAGGAAGGACAGACTTCCTTCTGCAGCTCCCTCTCTGCTGGGGTATTGGTCACCGCTTTCCCTCTTCATCCCCTTCTAGGGGGTCTCTCCTCTGACCTCTCCTCTCCTCATCACCCCATTCTCTCAAGATCCAGAAATATCCCATCTCCATTGAAGCAGAATTTCCTGAGTTCCACTGCAAAATAGATCGGCTCTTCTCCATACTGTGAAACATTTGTATTGGCCCCACACATGCTGACATGGTGTTGAGGGGTACTGTGCTGCCGTTGTGAACCGGCAGGCTAAACCGTGTGCCAACGCAGAGCGTTCTCCTCTGCTCGTTTTAAAGGAAAAGCACACTTTCTGAGCCAGGTCTCAGCTTCCCTTCCTTGAGCATAATGCAGGTAAGTCATGAAATAAAATAATACAGTGGCACGCCGGCCCTCTTCATGACAAGCACAGAGGAGGACAAGATGTGTGTGCAAAAACACTCTCTTGGCTGTGCGTCACTTAGTTACTTAGGGCTTGGATGTAAAAGAGAAAAGTTATGTTCAGGAGCAGCTTCATCATGTGGGGAAATACTGAGATCAGCGACAGTGAGGAATTACAAAGCAAGCCATAGAAACCTAGAAATAAAAGTCAGGGCATACATTGTTGAAAAGATTGGAAACAGGAAATCGATAGAGAAAATCAATGAAAACAAAGCTGGTTTTTTGAAAACTTCCATAGAATTGATAAACCTCCTCAAAAGAGTGAAGACACAAATGACTACTGTCCGAGTTAAAAGAGGGGCCGTTGTTTTGATGCCATGGACACTAACAGGATAATAAAGGCTTATTATGAGCAACGCTATGCCTACAAATTTGATGACACAGGTGAAATTGGTCATTGTCGTAAGCACACAGCCTGTCAACATGTCATAATGGGACCCTGACCCTTCGTTCCCCAGGTGGACACACTGCTTCACAGCAATGCGCCTGTGGGGTTGGGGGGTTGGAAGATGGATGTTTTGTAACCTTGTGTTAATGCACTCTCAACCTTTTGTTAATGCATTCTCGGGAACCTGGCCCGCCTAGGTGCATTGAGTGCTTCATTTGCATGTGAATAAGGGTTTGTTATCTATTGGCTTCAAAGTCTCTTCCTGTAAAAAGCAAGATACAAAGCTAGGGTGTATGGTTTGTAGAAACACCATCTCAGGCAAATAATTAATACAAATTCGCTTGTATCCTGGGGGTACAATCTGCAAATCAATGGGACTGCGTCCAAAGATCTGGAGCATATGCTCCCTTGCAAAGCTCCCCCTCACTCCAAGCAGTATGTGCTTGTAGTTCCATTGCAATGCACCAATCCTGGCAGGCCGAGAGATGGCATGTGCCAATTAATGCCCTTTGTAAAAAACCAAGGAACTAGTCAAAAGACCCCTGTACCCTAAGTGGATGTGAGTTGAGCCATATCGAAGCCAGAAAGAGGCCCAGCCAGTGTGCCTCAGTGTTGAGCGTCGTCCCATGCACCAGGAGGTCACCGGTTTGATTCCCGGCCAGGCCCACGCCCAGGTTGCGGGCTCCATCCCCAGTACCATATTTCTCTCTTATTGATGTTTCTATCTCTCTCTCTCTCTCCCTTCCTTTCTCTAAAATCAATAAAAATATATTGAAAAGAAGAAACGAGAGCAAAGGGGACCATGTGAAGTAAATCCTGAGTGTTCTCATCCCTCATGCCTGGTGTGTCTTGTCGGCTCCTTCAGGCAAGAAAAAAGAAAAGCATTCATTTGGGATCAAATTGCAATTCTGGAAACCCAGATTTGGGTAGTGTCCTGCTAGGGAGTAAGTGTCAGGGGTTTTTAAGAGGCAATTTTAATGGGTACTGGTGGCAGAAAGCTAACCTTGGCTAGACACGTGTCAGTTGCTAAGTACAAGTCTGTTTCTGTGACAAGTCACAGCTGTTTTTGAGGAGTTCCCAGAGGATTTCTGGTTCGGCCCAGTTCAAAGTTCATGTTCTGTCCAATGAGGAAATGCATTCAACCCATCTGCTCAGTGGCCTCCCAGCTCCATTTAAAGCCCCTTAACATAAATGACTCTATTTTATTACACATTTGACACTTAAATTCCATCCCCCTTATTCTTGTACACTACACACTCCAGAGTCGCTGCTCATGAATTGCACAGAGCTCAGGAGAGACCCCTTTGCCCATACTGGCACCAAATATCATTTGGCTACCAGTCTGACAATGTGCTCCAAATTCAAACATCAAACAAATAATTTTATGATGTAAGTATGTCTCTAGAGGACATACTTATACTTAAAAAACAAAAGTATTTGTTTATCTGAATTCGGATTTAACTCAGTGTCCTGCATTTTTGTTGGTGAAGCCTGGTGACCTTATCCACAGAACCACCGTTAGTGTCGATGATGAGGAATTACCCTTGTCCATGGCTCATTACTTGGGTCCGCGTTCTTTCAATCAAGGAATAAATCTTATGGGGACTGTCACATCTATCCAGGGAATCTTTCAACATCTGTTTTTGCTGCTTTCACCTTCAGCGCCTTTGACAGTGATCACTATACAAGAACAGAAGGGTAAGGTTAGGACCAGGGAATTGGTACCAGGGAGGAGTCCAGTGCAGAGTTCCGTGTAGGTGGCTGCCTTGACCACAGGTATGATGCCACGTGCGGCAGTAGAGGTGGGGTCAGAGCTGAGGGCCTCGTCCCAGGTGGGGCAGAATCCTTAGGATTTAGTTTCTGATTCCTGGCTGGGTATTGGGGCCCCAAAAGGAGCCCTAGGACTTTGTGCTCCAGCCGGACACCAGGTGAGGGTGATTGGGATGCTGGCTCAGATGTGAGCACGCAACAGGGTCACAGGAGACGGGATGAGGAAGAATTTGGTGTAATTTGTGGTGTACGATGGTCCCTGCAGGTGCCATCAATCAGGGATTATGCATCCTCAGTGCAGGGGCTCCCACTGTGAGGGGGAGAGAATACCCCAGGCTCAAGGCCGCTGCTCCCAATGAGCAGGCTCAGGACACAGGAGGCAGCCCTGGATTCCCAGAGGGTTGGGGTGTGGTTGGAGCTGCTGAATGAATGGTCTCCTGGATCCCTCCAGGTCCTTCGAGAGGAACACATGAATCTGGGGAGAGGTCTGGGGTTGTCCTGGGAGCTCCTTCCCCTGCCACGGGGGCAGCTCTGAGTGGAGAAGGGCAACCTGATGAGTGAAGCTGATTGGAGGAATCCCATGTGCAAGCCCACCCTCCAGTGCACCTGACGTGCTGAGTGAGAACTTACTGCTGCCTGGGCCCCGCACTGCCGGGGCACCGGCCCTGGAGTGGCCAGCCTCGGGCCCTCCACAGCCCTCTCACCTCTCACCACTCAGTTCAAAACTATCATTTAAACCAACAGGTATTTATAAAAGCCCAGAAGCATCTTTTGCTTTTTCTAATCATGGTGGTACAGGTAACATTAAAGGCAGAAAGAGTGTTTTGATATATCAAGTGATTCTGGTAGCTGAAGTGCTCACAGAAAAAGTATTTCTCAGGGAAAGTGGGCTGCCTGTTGGATGATTTGCTGCTCACATTGTCCAGACAGCACCACAGAATGAGAACAGCCTAAGTGACACCTGTCCTGGAAACTGTCACACCACCCAGATGGAGAGTGAGCACAAGGGAAATCACCACGAGCTCGTTCCTGGCAGGTTGGCTTCAGCCTCAGACAACCCACCCCTTGCACACTGTCTTCACAGCTACCCATCCGGGGACTGCCCGGTTTGGGGGACTCTCCAGTGACTTCCTTGAACTGTTTTCTGTGAGTAGTTTCTCCAGATTGAAACGTTGCTATCGGTAGGAAAGTGAGACTTATCTAGCTACCCCATCATCACCAGGAGGAACTTCACCACATCCCTGGACTTGATTAAGTGAAAGGGAACCACTTCCATTCACCCTTCCGCCCTGGAGTGACTCTCTGGGAACAGGCTGGGGCAGCGCTTTATCCTGATTTCAATCCCGGACCTCAGTGTGTCTGCACACCCTTCAGAAGGGAAGGAGCCCAGTGGACCACACCCAGGAGTGAGGTTCCTCACCAAGGATCTGTCCCTGGAACAGGGATTCAACTCAGGGATCGAACTGGTGACCTTTTGGTGCATGGGACAACGCTCATCCCACTGAGCCAAACCAGCCAGCGCTGATGCAGATCTTAAAATATTTGTAACAATGGACAGTGGCAGGAATTCCAGGTGGGCTGAACACATATGGAGAGAGAGATGTGTGGCGGAAAAGACTTTAGGTGGATGGGAGCGAGGAGCCTTAACGGAGTATAACCAAAGATGCATTTGGATAAACATGGGGATGGAGGTTGATGTCTGTTAAGTAACTACAGACGTGATGCTTGCATGGAAAGTTTGATTTGATCAGATAGATGTATAAACCAGAACAAGAACAGAAGAGAGATAACTAATAGAGAAAACGATTCTCTTTCTGTAGAACAATCCGTACAGTAAGAATGAAGCCTAAGGACCAGCTGAGAGATACTTTGTTTCTTTACACGTGGTTTCTAGGAGAGTCTGGACCTCTTCCTGGCCTTGTGATTTTGGACATGTTAATGAAGGTGTTTGTGACTCCGTGTCCATATTGGTTAAATGGGGTTAATTAAACTGTACCAATTTCACTGAATTATGAGGATTGAGCACATTGTTTTCCTATGAGAAGAGAGCCCACCACATCCACAGTGTATGCCTGTGAAGACCATTTTCACCTACTGCCTATGTGTCCACTGCAAATATACACCACAATGTACTTAACCACCTCCAACAGCATTTTTTTTTTCAAATCTATCATGAATAATCATGAAATGAACATCCAGATCTATATTGATTAAGGTACACATTCAAGAATATCCATGAAATAAATGTCTAAGAAGTGGAATTACTTGAAAGATGGGTATGTGCGTTTAACATTTTAACAGATATGGTCAGATTGATCTTCAAAGAGAATGCATGAATTTACACTCCCACAGACCAGTCATTGATTCATTCATGGGTTCATTGATTCATTCATTCATTCAAATAGTCATTCATTTATCAAATGTTTATTGAGCCAGTATGTGCCAGACACTGCTCTAGCCAATTGATATTTATTAGTATGAAGAACAAAGATCCTTGCTCACACGGAACATGTATTTTAGCAGATGGTAGGTACACATGAGTAATTCATTGATTAGTGGGACATAACTAATCAAGTTGAGTGTCTTTTCTCATATTTATTCACCACATGAAAATCCTCTGTGTGACGTGACAATTCAGTTTGCCCATTTAGAAAATATTTGGGGTATCTTTGTGTGTGTGTGTGTTGTTGTTGTTTTTAGTTATAAAATTTGGATATAAATCCTTTCATGGATATATTAACTGCAATTTCTCCCAGTCTGTACCTTGCCTTTGGATGATCTTAAATGATATCTTTTGATGGGTAGGTAGGAGTTTAGATATTAATTTAACTAAAGACCTATTTAGTGATTTCTTATCATTAGTATTTTTTGTGGCCTATTTTTGAAAAATCTTTGCAGAGTTTAAGGTCATAAAGACTTTCTCTTATGTTTCACACTGAAGGCTTTATAGTTTTATTTCTCAAAGGATGGGGAAGATTAGGAGACAGAGCTCAGGAATGTCATTCCTCCTGTTAAGAAAGGGGTGGAGAAAAAAAGGGGGGAAACATCTGCAATACTCTCAACACTAAAGATTTTTAAAAAGGCCAAAAAAGGAAAGAAAGAGGTGGACAGCGGCTAACACACTGGACACAGAGCATCTGTTCATTCCGGTGAGGCGAGAGAGTCTTGTCCTGCAACTTGGCAGCCCGCCCCTTCCTCAGACTGGAATGAAACAGAGCTTATAGGAAGGTGGTACAGTGCCAAACCCACTAACAAGTGGGGAGGTGTCAATGTCCTTCGGATCAACCAGAGGCTTCAAGGTAAAATGCTGTAAGATGTGGGTCAGTAGTAAAAACAGCTCCATGCGGGCCAGGCCTTCTCCAACACAAACTCTTTTTCCTAAAAACGACACATAAATTATTCATTAAATTCTATTTCCGAGTTAGCACACAGGGAGGCTTAAAAAATGGGGAACGAATAAATAAATAAATAAATAAATAAATAAATACATACATACATACATACATAAATACATAAATACATAAATACATAAATAAATTAGTAAAAGGCTAATTAACCTATGGCTTCTCCTACCTGCATCAAAACCTGGTTCCCCTCATTTCCTCAGCACACATTTCTGTGTGCATGCTCTGGGAAGAAATCTTCCGTGCACCCATGTTGGCTTTGCTTTGCTGAGGCTTGTCAGTGACACATACACACTCATTCGCTCTCACACACACTCACCTACCCAACTGGTATGAGACACACACTCTACTTTTCCATCTACCTCCAACCCCAAACTCAACAGTAGGTTTATGTCTTTTTATCTGGATTCTAAAAGATAATCTTAACCTCGTGAGGTCTCTGCCTTTAAAATTTCGAGAACTTACCACTGCCAAGTGTAAAAAGAAGCATCACAAAGTAGCCTCAAGCACTGCTGTTCACTAACCCCCAAACCGACCGGCAATTTCAGACGCTATCTCAGATTCCCGTCCTTGCCCCCAGTGAAACGGTCTTCGCCTCTGCTCTGCTGGCTGATCTTCTCCGCATTTCTCTAGATCCAGCTCGGACGTCACTGATTCCACGCCAACTTCTTTGACATGCGCAGGCTATGTAATTCACTCCCTTGTCTGTTTCCCCCACCGTCATGAACACTGCTAATACAGCACACTTCAAATGAAAGTCTAATCATTCATCTGTCTCACAGGCTGGAATAGAAGCTCCTAAGGTAAGGCCTTAGATCTTGTGCTGAGACCCACAGTGTGAGGACAGAGACGAGCCTGCAGCCCTGTGATGTGAACAGATCTCAAGCGGGGTCCTTACACAGGAAGAAAGATAAGGAGGAGGGTAGCAGGTCTTGCTTTGGCATTGTCTCTGGGAACTGCACATAATCATGGCACCACCAGACCACGGGTCCTTGGTACCTATTTTCTTAAATATTCGATTGGAGCAAATCTTTCGCTGTCGTCTCTGTTTCAATGACTTCTGTAGGAAAGGCCCTTCACTACTCTTCCGAGCTTTTCTCCTTTGGAGTGTGCTGAACATTTCTTTATCCTTTCAGGACCGTTCTGTGTGTGTGTTTGCCTTTTATGCTTACTCTGTGTTCAGAAAGCTGATTTCCATGAACCGCATAAACCCACAGGTTAGTTCCTTCTGGGTTCTGAATAATTCAGAGGATTCAATACTGAAACAGCCAGAGGATTTCTGTCCTCAGCGCTAGCCTGCCAGGCTGCGGTCTGGACAACGGCTGCATTCCTCCACCTGCAGACACGAGTCCTGTTGAGGCATCCTCTCTCTCTCTGCTAACGGTCTGTTTGGGTTCCAGTACCAGCTCCTTCCCTCCTTCCTTCCAACCCAAGATGGTAATGTCTTTCTGCTGGCGCTAGTTCCTGAGCACTTCCCTTAATCCTCCCCACACCTCTGAAAACAGTCTTTCCATTAAACTTTCTTTCTAGGACCCTGACAAATTAAAGGAAGATACTCACATGGTACTTCCTGCAAGAAACCTTCCCTTACCTTCCAACTACTCTGCCCCTGTTCCCCAAAAGGCAAGAGTCTAGGCTCCCACAACAGCCCCTTGAGGTCCATTTGTCTCTCTGGGGTCTTGTTGCCTGTTAATTTGCCTTCCTTTGTTTCTTATTCACACTTTATCCTTGGATCTGAGCAGGAGTCTGCTACTATAGGGTCCTTAGTGAAGTGTATTCACTGAATCAGCTTCTCAGGAAAGGCGAGAAAAGTCTTAGTGGAACTGAACTTCTAGCAGGAGCTCTCAGGAATCTCAGTGGTGGGTTACGGGACAGAACTCATTCGGCAGCTTCCAATCCAATGAGAAATAACCTGGACTTTGGGAGTGATGCCTCTGGCCTCGGGTACATGGCTATTTGTCCAGCCCAGAGTAGCCTCTGTGAAAAGCCCTTCCTCATCTCACTTGACCCCCGATATACAGATAAAAATGAAGCTTGCTTGCCTGCTGAAAAAGGCATGAAGTAGTCACTCCTCTTAAAGTTGCCATTTGCATCTAGGAAGTGGCTGGGATCGAACTTATCTGGGTTGGGAAACTCTTTCTCATCGCGCAGGACGGAAGTCAGAGATACGAATATGGTTGTGCCCTGGTATGAAGAGAAACAGATACACTGAATTATAACAAAGGTTATGAAGCTTGAAAAAAAAGTCCCTTATCTAATCCTTTTGTTTTATAGATGAGGAGACTGAGGCATAAAAAGAAGAATTTATTTACTTCATGTCACAGAACAAATTAGTGATCAAGCCTAACAGGTCTTAAATCATAAAAAGCCAGTCCAGGGAGGGCGCTGTTCCTTGACTCCAGGGCCATCCCCTCCAGTTTGTAGCCCAACACCAGCACTTGCTTTTCAGGACATTAAGGAAGCTCTCTGGAGTGCGCTGTTCTTAATAAATTGCACTATTGTCTAAAAGTGCTAATGTCACTGAAAATTCAGCTCATTCTCTCTCTCTCTCTTTTTTTTTATCCTCACCTGAGGACATTTTTCTATTTTTTGTTCAGACAGAGTGGGAGGAAGAGACAGGAGGAGAGAGAGAAAAACATCGACGTGAAAGGGACACATCGAGCGGCTGCCACCCGCACGACCAACCAGGGCCAGGGACAAACTGCAACTGAAGTACACACCCCTAGCGGGAACCGAACCCAGGTCTCTCTGGACCGCAGGCCGACGCTCCAACCGCTGAGCCTAACCAGCCAGGGCTCATTTTCATTTTGTAATATGTTTTTATTGTTTTTTTGTTTTAGAGAGAGAGGAAGGCGTAGAGAGACAGAGAGAGACACATCGATGTGAGAGAGAAACATGGATCGGGCAGGGGCCTGAACCCACAACCTGGGCATGTGCCCAGATCGGCAACCTTTTGGTGCACGGGATGATGCTCAACCAACTGAGCCACTCTGGCCAGGGCTCCAGCTCATTCTCTTTGGAACCAAAAATGAGGTCTTTTTCAAAACTGTACCCGAGCCTTGGTCAGTTTGGCTCAGCGGTTAGAGCGTCGGCCCGCAGACCCGGAAGTCCCGGGTTTGGTTTCTGCTAAGGGCACATCTCGATTGCGGTTCGTTCTCGGCCCCGGTTGGGGTTGTGCGGCTGGCAACCGATTGATGTGTCTCTCTCACGTTGATGTTTCTCTCTCTTTCTCTTCCTTTCCTCTCTCCTCCCACTCTATTTGAAGATAAATGCAAAAATATCCTTGGGTGAGGATAAAAAAACAACACAAAGAATAAAAACTCTACATGAGTGGCCATATTCTTGAAAACCCTTTGTTTTCCAGTCTGAATGAGAACTGGTAACTATCTCCTCCTACTACTACTATGTTCTTTCCATTGAATTACTGCTTCTTTAAAATATATATATATAGCCCTGGCCAGTTTGGCTCAGCGGTTAGAGCATCGGCCTGCGGTCCGGAGAGACCCGGGTTCGGTTCCCGCTAAGGGCACGTACCTCGGTTGCAGTTTGTCCCCGACCCTGGTTGGGTCGTGTGGGAGGCAGCCACTCGATGTGTTCCTTTCACGTCGATGTTTCTCTCTCTCTCTGTTCCTCTCTCTCCCTCCCACTCTACCTGAACAAAGAATGGAAAAATGTCCTCGGGTGAGGATGATAAAAAAAAAAAAAAAATCAAACAAATAAAATATATATATATATACACACACACACACATATATATGTATACACACACACATATATATGATGTTTTTATTGATTTTAGAGAGAGAGGTAGAGAGACAGAGAAACATCCATGTGAAAGAGAACCATTGATTGGCTGCTTCCTGCAAACCCCCTACTGGGGATCGGGCCCACAACCCAGGCATGTCTGACTAGGAATCGAACCTGCAACCTTTTGGTGCATGGGACGATGCTCAACCAACTGAGCCACACCAGCCAGGGCGATTGCTGCTCTTTTTTGTTAATGAAAAACTTAACAAGTAAGTGAAACAGAGAGTTGAGGAGGCCAGGGGAGTACAGTGTCCTGGCTAAGTGCTCAGAGTGATCAAACATACGCTGAGAAGCAGACAAGTGGACAGCAGACTGGGCTGGCCGAGTGTACTGAAAACCTGTTCTAGGCACTGTTATATTTGTACAATAGTATCGACCAACTAGAAGGACAGGAGCAGGCCATCAGAGTGTGAGGTGCCTGAATGTGAGTACCTGTAGGAAGTCAGGCAGCCTGTAATTCTACTCCAGTGACGGTGGAAACCTACTGTTCCTAATGAGAAGCATAGATGAACTCTCTCTCACCTTTGGGATAAAGTAGTCTCTGAACTTGATGTCCTGGTTCACCATGTGAGGCAGGTTGTTGGGGACAAGATCAATGTATCTCTGGATCTCGTGTATTGTGGCATCCGTGTAGGGCATGCGGCTCCTGTCCCGCATGCAGGGGCTCCGGTCTCTGCCAACCACGCGGTCGATCTCTTCCTGGACTTTTGCTGGCGAGGCAGGAATCAGAATGTATGTGAAATGGAAAAGACTTTTGAAATGATCTTAATTTTGGTTACACAGTGGTGGAAGATGGAGAGAAGGGAAAATTACACATGGCTACCTCCATAAGGAAAAACAAAGAAACAAAATTTCAGTCTCTTGGGCAAATTGGAATCTCATTAGAGACTTAAACACAAGTACATGTAAAACCCAACTGTACCATGAAATTCATTTCTCAACTCTGATTCTGTATTTATGTATTTTTGTTTGATAGACTCAGGGGGACTGTGATCTTGAAAGCTCACTACAAACCATGTAGTTTAACCTCTTTGTGTATAAAGTTTTTGTTTTATTAAATTTGTCTCTTCCAAGGTGGTAAGAACTACCCTGTGCAGTAAATGCTTGATTTTATTTTTTTTAAATCCTCACCTGCCAATATTTTTGCATTTATCTTCAGATAGAGTCAGATAGAGCAGAAGGGAGAGAGAGAAACATTGATGTGAGAGAGACACATCAAGTAGTTGCCACCCACACAACCCCGGGGCCGGGGACAAACTGCAACCAAGGTACGTATGTGCCCTTAGCGGGAACCGAACCCGGGCCTTTCTGGTCCACGGGCCGACGCGCTAACCGCTGAGCCAAACTGGCCGGGGCTGTAAATGCTTAACAAATAGAGCAGTTAAATAAGATGTCTAGTTGAGTCAGCATATAGGAACGAAAAGTAAGTTGACATTTACTTGGCATGCAGAGATGACAGGCACACTGTACTCTTTGTTATATTATGTAGGTTATAGGTTCTCAAAACAATTCTATGTGTTGGGTATTAGTTTGTGTATCTTAAAAATGAGGAAACAGCCCTGGCCAGTTTTCTCAGTGCTTAGAGCTTCGAACCTTGGACCAAACAGTCCCAGGTTCGGTTCCCACTAAGGGCACGTACTTCCGTTGCAGTTTGTCCCTGGCCCCGGTTGGATCGTGTGGGTGGCAACCACTCGATGTGTCCCTTTCACATCAATGTTTCTCTCTCTTTCTTCCTCCCTCTCTCCCTCCTGCTCTATCTGAAGATAAATGCAAAAATGTCTTCAGGTGAGGATTAAAAAAAAAAATGTCCTCAAGTGCGGCCTGGAAAAAAAAAATAATGAAGAAACAGGTTCAGAAAAGTAAACGTTATTTGTTAAGGACATCCAGGTATTGTGTGGTCTTTCTCATCCCAAACCCACAATCTTAGAAATTGAGTAAGATTGTTGAAAGTAGGTTGTCAGTGAATTATATTTTTCCTTTAACTACAAAGTATATCATGTTACTAATATATAGATTAAGTAAGACTATTCCTTAGTTTAAAAAAATGCTTATTAACTTTCCTTTGTGGGAAAGACTCTGTGAATGTCAGGAAGTATTATCGTCTCCCGAACACAGAGGAGGGACCGACCTACGGAGAGAGGTAGCCTTGAGTCTAAGGTCACACAGCCACTTACTAGTCGAGTCAGAGTCCAAAGCCACTGTTGTTAAAGTCTATCATGCATTTTGTCTGATACCAGGTTGCTACTTTGGTCACGTGGGATTTGTCTATCACCTGAAGAATGTGTCTTTTAATGGGGCATATGACAATTCTGTGGCTTAATAGCTATAAAGAAGAAAAGGTTAGGAATTTTAGGGACGTTTCAAACATCGCTTTCTTCGCCTGAGAGGCTGGAGTTTTGTGTAGTGGGAGAGATTATATGAAGTGGTTAGAAACTGCTTATAAAATCACATGCCTAGTAAAATGTCTCAGTAAGAGATGATGGGAAGAGAGAAAAGGAAAACATGAATGAATATGATGCAAGAAAAAAACCCAAATGGAAAGTGAAACAGAAGTGATGCGGAATTATGACACAAGAAGGGCTTTAAGTGTTTGGACAAAAATGCTGCCTCTTATTGACTGTCATAATCAGCATAGGTCTGATAAGAGTCAGTGAAGCTATTTAGCTGAAAGGATCTGTGTCACACGAACGACACACACACGTCACCAGCGTATCCCGCTCTGTGCACAAGCAAAGGAATTCAAGGCTATGCTTCTAACTCGCACCATTTGGAAAGCATCTCATTTATAAGTAGGAAAATCTGATGCTAATGTTTTGGAGATAAGCTTATGAGAGTTAATTATGCTAAAGTGTCTAATGTGCCAAAACACAGAAAATGATATAGTAGTGAAGAAAATATCCTCTTAAATCAGGACTCAATAAAAAAGAGGATGAAAAATGAGAAAGTTGCATTTGTAAGAGAAATCATGTTTGTGGGGAAAAATTTGTATGCCCAATAGGGTACATTTTTTTTTATTTTGTTAATCCTCACCCAAGGATATTGGTTTTTTTTTTTTTTTTTGAGTGGAAGGGAGGGAGGGAGGGAAGGAGGGAGGGAAGGAGGGAGGGAGGGAGGGAGAGAGAGAACCATCGATGTGAGAGAAACACATCAACTGGTTGCCTCCTGCACGACCCTGAGCAGGCAGGGGATCGAACCTGGCACCCAGTTATGTGCTCTTGACTGGAATCAAACTGATGACCCTCAGGTCCACAGGCCAATGCTCTAACCACTGAGAAAACTGGCCAGGGCCCAATAGGGTATATTTTGAAATCATTTTTTATTTGTGTATAACTTTTTTTTTATCCTCACCCAAGCACATTTTTGCATTTATCTTCAGATAGAGTGGGAGGAAGAGAGGGAAGAACAGAGAGAGAGAGAAACATCGATGTGAGAGAGACACACATCGAGTGGTTGCCACCCATACGACCCCAACGGGGGCCAGGGACAAACTGCAACCGAGGTACGTGCCCTTAGCGGGAACCGAACCCGGGACTCTCTGGTCCATTGGCCGACACTTTAACTGCTGAGCCAAACAGGCCAGGGTTAACTTTTGTTTTTTTTTTTTTTAATTTAGAGAGTAAGTCTCTTTGGTAGAGAAAGATTATAATTTTGTTGTCAGTCTTCAAATTCCAAATGCATTGGAATAGAAATGTTTTTTTAACAAAGAGATGTATCTGTCTGGACATGGAAGCTATATCAAGTGGTATCTTTTTAGAAAAAGGAGAAAGCTAATTTTTTCCAGGTCCTAAGACAACTCTGCTGACTTCACTTGGTCTGATGCACACCACGTACACTCCACAAATGGCAGGGCGAATGACAACCTCTGCCCTTCGAATCTCTGCTGCTATTTAAATATTTTTTCTCTTTTTGTAATAATCTAATTTGAATTTAGTTCATCCAATGATAGGAAGATGTATTAGTGATGGAAATGTTCTTGAGCCTTGTCTAGGCAGGTGAGGGTGGGATCGTCATCAGGGTTGCCTGCCAGTTTCTGCCTGGAATTTCTTCCTGCCCATCACCTGCGACCATACCTGTGACCTCCGGGTGCTTCAGCAGGAGCAGGAGTCCATACTTCAGGGTGGAGGCTGTTGTCTCTGTCCCCGCACTGAACATATCCCATATGGTAACGACCAAATTGTCCATGGTATATACAGACTGTTTGTTGTCCTTTTCCTAGTCACAATGTATTCGAGTTATGTGATAAAAAAACAAAACAAAACAAAAAAAAAAACCTTAGAGATACCATAACTTAACTCAATATAACATCGTTATTTGCTTATTTGACTAATTAAGACGAACATTAGAGTGTACAGTTAGATAAGTTGTCAGGATTCCTTCCAACAGTTCAAAGAAAATCAGAGCTGTAAACAGTCAGTAAGTCCTTTCTGATTTCTCCCTTTCTCACCCATGAGAGCCACTGAGGTCTTTCAAAATCATTTTTATCAAGTCATCATGGCTACTCACTGTCAGTCCCAGCATGTATTATCTATTTTATCATATCTAAATTTCTCATTCAAGCCTGCAGAACCACCCACCCCCTAACAGCATCACTGTTCCCAATGTCATTACACCACGACAGTCTCGCAGTCAGAATCAAGATAACCTCTTTGAGAATTCCACATACTTGGCCATCATTCCCCTAGACCCATTGTATCATCTCTGCTCATCTAAGCCAGAATAACCTCATCTGGGAAGATTTCCTAGTATCTGTCCAAAGGTAAGCCTTTTTAGATTCCTATCCATTCTTGTGTTCCCTCACATGTTACATCTTGCATTCAAGGAATTTATTTTATGAATGATATATGTTGTTTATCATTAATCTTGAATGTGTGTGTGTGTGTGCATGTGTGTTTCAATCTGCTCCAAATAAAAAACCAGCTTTAACAAAATGAATATAAAATCCTGTATATGATTTTAGCGAGAATTTGCAACTATCTCAAGACACCCAAAATGGTTTGCACGAGCAATTAATACATTTTTAGGAAGAAGCATTTGATTTAATATCCCAATTTCACTGGAAAGAGTAAAACTAATCCATAAATCATATTACCCATTTGTACCTTTTCCATTTTAATCAGGAAGTAGTCAATGAAGTCTCGTGGGTTATTGAGGTCCAGAGATTCTTGATGTTCTTTTATTTGCTCCAAAACAAACTTTTTCTGTTCCGCAACGTTTTTAAATAATTCATTATGACTTCCCGGGAGATAATGTATTAAAAAAGGGAAGGCATTGTAGAGCTGAAAGAGTAAAGAATCATTTATTAACTCACTCAGCCAACTTTTATAGGCCTACATTGTGCATGGACACTTTGTGTTAGGCTGAGTGGGTAAAGGTGAATGAGACATGCATCCTGCACTGGAAGACTTGGAATTTGCAAGAGCGGGAACCGATAAAACAGCAGAGTTACAGCATGCTCACGTTACCAAGCAATTCCGAAACCATTCCAATTCATCTCCTAGTCATAACCATCTGAAAGAATCCAGGAGCACAGCACCACTTTCCAAACGAGGACACTGAGGTTCAGAAAGGTGAGTCTACTGGTCTAAACCACCAAACTAGTGGCAGAGCTAGAACCCAGTGCTCCTCCCAATTCACCCTACACACGTCTACAGTCACCTAAAAAGTGTGTAGCCGCCATAGCACATGTTGTAATGAAGAAACAGTGCATCAGGAAGATTAAGGGAATGCCCATATTCCTTGGCTTATTTTTTAAATTTATTTGTACTGTTGAGAATATTACAGATGTGCCCCATTTTTCCTCCTTTGCCCCCCTCCACCTGGCTCCCACCATGCCCCAGGCCTTCACTGCACTATTGTCTGTGTCCATGGTCTATGCATATATGCATCTTTTCCCACTAGCCCCCTTCCCTGAGATATGACAGTCTGTGCCCCGCTTCCATGTCTCTAGACTTACTTTGTTTGTCAGTTTATTTTGTTCATTAGATTCCACATGTAAGTGCCATCATGTGACACTTGTCTTTCTCTGCCTGGCTTATTTCACTTGGCATAATAATCTCCAGGTCCATCCATGCTGTCTCTAAGGGTAAGAGATCCTTCTTTTTTAAAGCTGCATACTATTCCATTGTGTAAGTGTACCACAGCTTTTTTATCCACTCATCTACAAATGGACATTTGGGCTGTTTCCAGATCTTAGCTATTGTAAATAACGGTGCTGTGAATACAGGGGTGCTCATATTTCTGATTGGTATTTCAGGATTCTTAAAAAAAAATTTTTTTTTCTTTATTGATTTTTAGAGAGACGGGAAGAAGAGGGAGAGAGAGATAGAAACATTGATTGGCCGTCTCCTGCATGCCTCACACTAGGAATTTGGTCCACAACCTGGGCATGTGCCGTGACCAGGAATCAAACTGGTGACCTCTTGGTACATGGGTTGATGCTCAACCACTGAGCCACACTAGCCGGATGGTATTTCACGATTCTTAAGATATATTATCAGAAGTGGTATCACTATGTCAAATGGCAGTTCCATTTTTTTGAGGAAACTTCATATTGTTTTCCATAGTGGCTACACCAGTCTGCATTCCCACCAGCAGTGTACTGGGGTGCCCTTTTCTCCATACCCTTGCCAGCACTTGTTTGTTGTACTTAGTTTATTTTTAATTAGGCATTTACATCTCAAGAATGTACACATTGCCCCCATTCATTGGGTCATTCCCAATACTGGAGATGACTGACTGCTTTAGCTGGTACCCTCGTGACTTAATACCTCCAGTGGGCACTGAAACAATTTATTTGGGCTCAGAGCTTGTATCAAACTTGATAGAGAATTGAGAAATCTAGGTTCTAGGTCTAGCTTATTCTTTGTCTTGGCTAGGCTACTTTGGAAAATGTGCTTACTACCTTGGGTGATGGTTTGCTGAACCAAAAAATGAGGAGTTAACTTTGTTCTCTAGGGTCCTTCCAAGGAGAAACATTAAAAACCTTTGTAACCCACACAGAGTTTTAGTTGTTGTGACTGTATATCATAGGTTATTAACGTTTTCTGACAATGTACTATAGTAGGAAATACATACATTTTACACCACCACCTTCTTCATCTATAGATGTAAAAATCAGAAAAAAAACGTTTCTCGAAAAAAAACAAAAAAAAACACCTTGTTATCATTTGATGCACTATAATATGTTTTTCTTTCTATTACTATAGCTCATGTTTTAAATTTAATTTTAACGCACTGGATTGATTTGATGAGTCACTAATTGGTTACCAGTGATAGTTTGATAAACAATACTTCAGCCATTTTGAAATAGGGCAAAGGGATAAGGTAGGCATGAGCAATAGATTAGTCAGAAAACTATTTCCCATTTAAAGAGAACCTCGACTTTACCTGTATCCAGGGGGTGCTTATAATTCTGAAGTTCTCATTAAAATAATCTAGCAAGGTTAGCAATTTCTTATCATTGTACTCAAAACGGCTCTGGAAAATAATGGAGCAGATCACATTGCAGGGTGCACAGCCCAGAAGGAAAGAAGGGTCACACGGAGATCCTGAAACAATATGAGTTAAAGTGAGAGCAAAATTTTTATTTAAATCTAAAGTCGACTGTTTAAAATAATTGAGAAAGGTTGACTCCAAAGGTTTTACTAAGTATGGGAACTACTTAGCCATGCCACCACCACTATAAAAACAACATGCCTGAAATAAAATGCACTGTGTTTCCCCAAACAAAACTGTCTAATCTAGTCCAATTTATTAATTTCCCCCAAGTGTTCTCCTATCTACACCATTCTCCAAATAAGAGCCACAAGGTAATTCACAAAGTCTTTTAAAAATTTATTTATTTAGCCCAGCCGGTGTGGCTCAGTGGTTGAGCATCGACCCATGCCCCAAAAGGTCGCCGGTTCAATTCCTGGTCAGGGCACATGCCCAGGTTGTGGGCCTGATCCCCAGTGGGGAACATGCAGGAGGTGGTCAATCAATATTTTCTCTCATCAATGTTTCTATCTCTCTCTCTTTCTCCCTTCCTCTCTCTCTAAAATCAATAAAGAAAAAATGAAAACACACACACACACAAGTTCTGCTCAACATGTGAAAGAAACATCCACCAGTTAAAGTTATCTAGAGATGAAATGGCTGCCCCAGGACTGAGGATCCCATAGTCAGGGGGAATCAAGCAGAGTCTCAGTGATCACGGGTCAGGAAACTGAGAGAAGGTCATATTCACTATGGGAAAAGTTGAACCAGTTGATAATAAATTCTGCTTGAAATATAAATTAGGTGCACAAAATCATTTTCCAGATAATATGCACCAAAACCCAACATTTACTGGCTTATTAATTCCATTTCAAAAATTTTAGTCTAACAAAGTAGTCAGAAATATGCAATGATTAATATGGATTGCATTTTTAAAATATATGAATAGCAACAAAGAACTGAAAACAGTGTATTTGGCCAAAAATAAAAGACTAGTTAAATAAACTATGGTACATCCAAAATAATGGAATAGTGTACTATTTCATTAATAATATTCTTTAAAAACATTTACAATTAAACATGTGAAAAATATTGATTTAGTATGTTAAAGTTAAACATAAGGTTACAGGACAATGTACCCAGTATAAGCTCCGTGTTCTTTCCCTTCTGCTAGGTCTTCCTCCCATTCCTAGATAATACGTGTCAACAGTCCAAACAATGTCCATTGACACTCTACCACTATTTCCAGAAATGTATTCTAAAGAAGAAATCAGAATTATGTGAATATTTGTAATAATAGCATTTTAATATTAATATCAGCAAAAGAGAAATAACCCATCTGGAGAGTTTAAAAACACAATGACAATTCACCATATAGAATATAGTATTATTAAATTAATGTTGAAAAATATTTAAATATTGAGCTTAAAAATCACATATATCTCATGATCCTGATCTTACGAGTTTTCTACTAAGTCTCCTGCCCATCCCTTTCTCTTTACCTCCTCTCCAGGTCCTACATGTACATACACACATATATACACTGCACATATACACACACACATGTACACTGCACATATACACACTGAGCAGGTGTGTGCTACTGCAGCTCCCTCCCTTGACACCTACATGCCAGCCCTGTGCATTGAAAAGGTTTTAACATAAATTCAACCCCTGAACCACGGTGCTTTTTTTGTTTTGTTTTTTCAGTTTTACTGAGATATAATTGACATTCAGCACTGTACACATTAAAGGTGCACAACATAACAACTTGATTACATATATTGTGAAATGTTTGCAATGTTTCTCCAGAAGTTATTAGAGAAGTTACTTAGTTTTTCAAGCTATTGTGGCCCAAACTACCAGCTTATTACCAAAATCCATGTTCTCCTCTTCCTCCTGAGCACACAGCGAACCACATTTCCCACTTCCCAGAGGAGGCTGTGGCCCTGTGACTAAGGTACAGCCCATTGGATGGGAAGGAAGTTTGTGCACCTCCGCCATGCCTGGCTCATTCAAAACACACGGTGGTGACATCAAAGCCCCTATCAACCTGGTCCCTGAAGAGCCTGAAAACGCCAACCTTGTCTCGTCCTACTGGCAGGTGAGCAAAAGGCAAACTTGTGCCTTGCTCGCGCCGCCGTGGCCCTGTGCAGCCTTTCTGTGACAGCAGTCTACCCCAGCTGCTCCCGTCAGCTACGCGAGGAATACACACCATTGGTTTTCCTAAATTCCTCCACCAGACACAAGGCTTCCTCTTGAATTCTGTCTTCAACCGTCTTCTTTCCCATCCCCATATCCCGCAGAACCGTGAGGGAGAACCGCCGGGTTTGCTTCCATAGTTCTCCGTTGCTGAAAACAACTCCTAGCAGGGCAAAAAATAAATAAAAAGAATAACTTCCATTTTTATTAATTCTAGCGGAGAGTCTTTATATTAGAAAGTGACAAGGTCACCTAGGCAGAAGCGTAAATGTCACTGAGCCACACTGGCGGGGCTCTTTCTTCTTCTTACCAGGCCATAACTCACAATGAGCGTGGCTTGGTCACAAACAGAACGTCAGTGGCTAACTGGTTTGCTTTCACTGAATCGATTGTTTCATGGAGACATTGTGCCACCTTCACAAGCTTAAATACGGATCCGTTATCCTTTATAGAAAATGTTGGAATTATGATAGATAGTTCCATACATTTCTCTGGATGCTTAAAACTTCTCAATTCCTTCGCCTATTTGGAATCTTGGCAACTTGCAAATCCACACACATTCCCCAGTAGGAGGCATACCTGACCCCTGGGAGATGTGCTCCGCCAACGGGAAACTGCCTCTGCCGGAAAACTCCTCACCCCGCTCCACCAGGGCTTCCTTCACCGCCTTGTGCCCGTGCAGCACCACCGTGCGCTGCGGGCCCAGGTACACCGTGAACACCGGGCCGTAGACTTTCGCCAGCTGGGAACCCAATGGGAGATGCAAGAACAGTGAGAATTTCAAAACCAAAAATGTAGAGAAGCGAGAGAAATATCTTTGATCATTCTGCAGTACACCTGAAACTAACACAAAATAATACTGAAAAGAATCCCTAGGACCTAACGGGGTGCCTAATACAAAGTAGGCATTCGCTAATTTGCTGAATATATGCTATACTAATAACTTGTGCAAAATAATTATTATTCACCTTTTAAAGAAATGGAAATTAAGCTCAGAGAGATTTTTCAAATGTGTCCAATGTTGTAAGTTAACAAATGGAAGCTCTGGGTGCCGACCCAATCCCTTTGAATCCACAGCCCCAAACCAAGCCAGGGCTCTGGTATCTAACTGGCTGGGGGAGACAATTTCAGTAATCCCTTCGAGACTTAGAGAGCTATTGCCATATAAACAGCTAAGAGTGGAGCAGTTATTCACTCATTCTTTGACCAAATATAATAGAAACCGTGAAAGTTCCTGAACTTTTAGTTATTTCTTTAACTTCACATCAGTGTGTGCTTTTAGGAAAAGTTTAGAGTTGTGACTCTATAATTTAAAATTGAAAGTAATTTCATTGCCATTAGAGCTCATCGAAGAATAATCACTAGAAAGAGGATTTGGGTCACAATATGCACAGGAAATTCCTACTTTTGGCAACTTCAACAATCACCTCATGGACAAGTACACCCTTTAAAATCATGTCTGACGGAAAAAGACAAGGACCATATGCTTTGACTCCTATGTGGGATCTAAAACAGAAAGCAACAAATGAGCCAACAGAACAAAACAAACACACAAACTCATAGACACTGACAGTATGGTGGTTACCAGAAGGGAAGGAGGGTTGAGGGGAGGAGGAAGAGGACAAACGGGTGAAATTCATGGGGACCAGAGGAGACTAGACTACGGGTGCCGAGCACTCAATGCAATACACGGATGCTGCCGTATAGAATTGTACACCAGAAGCCTGCAAAATGTTATTGATCAATATTACCCCCATAAATTTAATGACATTTAAAAAAATAAAATATCTGGGTGTCCATTGGGCACTTCCCTTTAAAACTACTTCTTTCAAGCATGGTGTCTGGGACTGCATTTTACTTAGATATAAGGCTGTCTTACTTACTCATTGCAAATAACTGAAAGGAAATTAATCGTACTTAACCTTGAGTAGGGATTCGTTGATGTTCTTGGTATCGATCTGTAGAATATTTCCAATGATCGGGAGAGGCGTGGGGCCAGGCGGCAGCTTTCCTTGGGCATAGCTTCTGTTCCACAGAAAAAGGAAAATCAAACAAGAAAGACAAATCACCAGGGCTATGAAGAGAGCCATTGATGTGCTTTGCATAAATGCAATTGAAAGTTTATAACCCAAAGATTTTATAAATACTAAGTGCAAACTGATCTCCCCACATGTGATAAGACTTTGAACTTTTGAATAAATATTGTTTTATTTTCAGTGAACTTTGACCTGCGGGTGGAGAGTAAACAAAACAATTAGAAAACAGACTCATAGATAACAAACAACAGAATTTCCAGAGGTATAAAGGTTAGGGCAGGACTAAAAAGGTAAAAGGTATCAAATATATGTTACGAAAGGAGACTAGACTTTGGGTGGTGGACACACAATAGAATACACAAATGTATTATTTTAAAGTTGTACACCTGACATTTATATAAGGTTATTAACCAATGTTACCCCAATAAATTTAATTTAAAAAAATTAGTAAAGAGAAATATCTTAGTTTTCAAATGAGTTTTAGTTGAAAATTCCAACTAAAAATAACTCTCGCTTCTTCAGAGATGGCCACATCTTAATAGTGAAATTGAAAGCTAACAAATTTTCAAAGGGGTAAAATTTATAATCTTGACAAATGATGAAAGGGAAGGTCTCATATCAAAATTCATCATCGCCCTGGCCGGTTTGGCTCAGCGGTTAGCGTGTCGGCCTGCGGTCCTGAGAGACCCGGGTTCGGTTCCCGCTAAGAGCACGTACCTCGGTTGCAGTTTGTCCCTGGCCCTGGTCGGTTGTGCGGGTGGCAGCCACTCGACGTGTTCCTTTCCCATCGATGTTTCTCTCTCTCTCTCTGTTCCTCTCTCTCCCTCCCTCCCACTCTACCTGAACAAAAAATGGAAAAATGTCCTCGGGTGAGGATAAAAAAAAAATTCATCACCAAACGGGCAGAAGAAAGAAGCACTCTGTTAGTGGCTTTTCCCAGAAAATGCAAGAGAAGGCCAGAGTTGACGACAGAGAGAAGGAGGCCGGTGAGAGAGAAGGCACAGGAGGCTGGTCTCGGCCTAGAGTGGAGAGAGCACAACTCCCCTGGCGGGGACCTTCCCTGTTTGTCAGCAGTTCTGATGCCACTTATTCTCATAGGATCTTAACGTGCTCACTCAAAAGAAAATAAATTGCGTTTGTTAATTTAAAAAATAATTATTTTTATTTGTAGAATTCTGTGAAGTTTATGAAGCGCTTTTATGAATAGCTTATTATTTGAATCTCATCATCAATCTAGGAGATAGATATTTTTTATTCATTTTACAGATGAGGAGAAATAAAATCAGAACTGAAGGAATTCACCCAGATTTCCACTTCTAAGGCAGGTAAGAACTCCAGCTCTGGTTTTATAACTTGTGAACATTGCATTGAAAAGTTTCAATTTATTTTTATTTTTTTAATATGCTTTTTTTTTTTTTTTTCCCTGTGGTACGTGCCCCTCTGGGACTCTGGTCCGCAGGCTGACGCTCAACCGCTGAGCCAAACTGGCCAGGGCAGAATTTAATGATCTCTCAAACATCTGTTGAGTAATTATTATCTTGCAGTCTCACTTTGGCATTAAAATTTTGATTTATAATTAAACTGTAACTGAGTTGATAATTTCCCCATAAATCAATAAAAAAGAAAAGTTTGTTCCTTTATGATCTTTGGAATTTCAGAAAACAAGGTTCAAAGATTCAAAGAACTTGATCTAAAAATAATAGAGTCATTTGCTGTCCAATCCCACATCTGATACACACTGCCTCGGGACATTTCTGCTCTTGGAAGAAGAGCAGATTTTAAAACAGTTTATATATTTTTTTGCCCTGGCCGGTTTGGCTCAGCGGTTAGAGCGTCGGCCTGCGGTCCAGAGAGACCTGGGTTCGGTTCCCGCTACGGGCAGGTACTTCGGTTGCAGTTTGTCCCCGGCCCTGGTTGGTCGTGCGGGTGGCAGCCACTCGATGTGTCCCTTTCATGTCAATGTTTCTCTCTCTCTCTTTCATCCTCTCTCTCTCCCTCCCACTCTGAGCAAAAAATGGAAAAATGTCCTCAGGTGAGGAAAACAATAAAATAAAATAAAATAAAATAAAACAGTTTATATATTTTGTAAAAGTCTCTTTCTCTCTCACTGTCTCTCCTCAGAGCCATTCCTTGGCCTGAGAAACTTGTGTCTGAGCTCCATCTATGCAACGTTTTTTTTGGATTCAAATGCTTGACCATTTTTCTCTTCATAGAGAGAAGAAAACTTAAGACTAATTGAGCTGGAATAGATCTTAGAACTCACCTAATGAAATTCTTTACTTCCTTGTTTTACGAGCCACATAATAATGGCTCTGAGAGGCAAAGAGCTTTGCATACACTCACATAGTGGGTTATATTAGATCTGCTAGCTGAAGGGTCTTTGTTTCCTTGAATATAAGATTTTTGGGTGGCAGACAGTCGCCATATCTGGGACTCCAGCAACCTGGTTCACAGTGTTTGCCCTGCCCTGGTGACTCCCTGAGGCCCTGCCCCACCCAATTTTCAGGCCCACCCAAGCTGTTGCCAGTTGCTTAACCATAGGATTGGCCTATCTTGAATCCTGCTTCAGGTTTTCCTAAATTCTTTCAAACAAGCAGCATCTGATCTCAGATAGCCCCATACTTCTTGTTAAGTAATACACAGAAACAAACACAGGGAGGCAGCCAAAATGAGGAGACAAAGAAACAGGTCCCAACTGAAAGAACAGAACAAAACCCCAAGAAAAGAACTAAGCGAAATGGAGATAAGCAACCTAACAGATGCTGAGTTCAAAATACTGCTTATAAGGATGCTCAATGAACTCAGTGAGAACCTCAGCGAACTTAGTGAGGGACTCAAGAGTATAAAAAAGGATCAGTCAGAAATGATGGATGCATAGTCAGAAATGAAGGAGGCATTAACTGAAATAAAGAATAATTTACACAGATTCAAAGAAGCAAACTATTGATATGGAATATAAGGAAGCAAAAAACACCCAATCAGAACAGCAAAAAGAAAAAAGAACCCCAAAAAATGAGGAGACAACTTCAAGCGTGCCAACATTCGCATCTTGGGGGTGCCAGAAGGAGAAAAGCGCGAACAAGAAATCGAAAACCTGTTTGAAACAATAATGGCAGAAAACTTTCCTAACTTGGTGAAGGAAACAGACATACAAGTCCAGGAAGCACAGAGAGTCCCAAACAAGATGAACCCCAAGAGGCCCACACCAAGACACATCATCATCAAAATGCAAAAGGTTCAAGACAGAGAGAATCTTAAAAGCAGCAAGAGCAAGGCAGCTAGTTACCTACAACGGAGTTCCCATAAGGCTGTGCGCTGATTTCTCAAAAGAAACTTTGCAGGTCAGAAGGGAGTGGCAAGAAATATTCAGAGTGATGGAAACCAAGAACCTACAACCAAGGTTACTCTATCCTGCAAAGCTGTCATTTAGACTCGATGGCCATATAAAGAGTTTCCCAGACAAGAAAAAGTTAAAGGAGTTCATCACCACCAAACTGTTATTATATGAAAGGTTGAAGGGCCTTTTTGAAGAAAAAGATAAAATATATGAACAAACAAAATGGCAATGAATACATATCTATCGACAATGGAACCTACAAACAAAATGAACAGGTAGAAACATTCTCATAGATACAGAGAACATTTTGTTGGTTGCCAGATGGGAGGGGGGTTGGGGGAATGGGTGAAAAAGGTGAAGGGATTAAGAAGTACAAATTCATTGCTAGACTGACAAACCTCAAAGGGAAAGGGGTTAGGGGGTGGGAAGAAATAAACCAAAGAACTTATATGCATAACCAATGGATACAGACAACAGTGTAGGAAAAGGCGGGAGGGAGGCGGAAGTGGGGAGGAGGGGATCAATGGGGGAAAAATGAGGAACATCTGTAATACATTCAACAATAAAAATTTAAAAAAATACAATAAAATAAAAGCGACAAAGACAGACTGGATAGAAGATGGAGGACAAACATGTTAAAGAATTTGTAGCTCTGATCCATAGCCTGTCCCCTGATGGTGGCAGCACAGATGCTGGGAGTCGTCACTTCCTGAACCCTTGGTCTTCACACACTGCCGCAGGACCAAGCACCCGGTCCCCATGGTCTGGGCTATATCAAGGGGGTTATCAGGACAGGAAAACCTGAATGCGTATTAAAAAAAAAATTTTTTTTCCTTTATTGATTTTAGAGAGAGAAGAAGGGAGAGGGAGAGATGGAAACATTGATGAGAGAGAACATTGACTGGCCACCTCCTGCATGCCCCAACTGAAGATTTGGCCCACAACTTGGCATGTGCCCTGACCAGGAATCAAACCTGCGACCTCTTGGTGCATGGGTCGATACTCAACCACTGAGCCATATCAGCCAGGCCTAAAGGTGTATTTAAATTAAGAAAAATCTGTAGTCAGTTAGAAATAAACTCATAGAGTCCATTTGAAAAAACAAAACAAAACAAAACAAAAAAACAGATTTTTTAAATCACCTGAATATAAAGGAAATTTAAACATAATATTGAGTGTAGAAAACACTTTTAAAATTTAACTCTCCTCGACAGCCAATCGATGTTTCTCTTTCAGATCGATATTTTTCTCTCTCTCTCTCTCCCTTCCTCTTTCTCTAAAAAATCAATATAAATAAATAAATAAAAGGTAATGTTCCTCTACACAAACATGAGCTAGCTTCAGGATTGTGAATGTTTGTGATAATCTATCTTACCCTCGATTGTAGGGACATCAGAGGTCAGGGAGCAGCGCTTTTTCATCTGAAATCCTTAATTACACCCCAAAAAGAAACTGCTCTGTTAATCTAAGCAGGCTAATATCGATGATGAACATAGATGCAAAAATCTTCAACAAATTACAAACAAACTGAATTCAATATCACCTTGAAAGAATCTATACCACAACCAAGTGGGCTTTATCCCAGGAATGTAAGGATGATTAAACATTGGCAAATCAGTTAATAAGATACATCACATTAACAGAATGAGGAATAAAAATTACATGATTATCTCAATAGATGCAGAAAAGTCAATACTCTTTTATAATAAAAATTCAA